TTGGGTGATGAATTAGTACAGTGGCCTTTTTTATTTTTCCGGTCTGGAGGGTATTCAACGGTTCAACAGTTATTTTGGCATTTTTATTATGTTGCTGAAATTTTTAAATTCCGCGCTTTTTTTTACAGTAATAAAGTGGAAAATGTATGGATTTTCTGTATGCCAGTATACCTGTTTTTTTCCATCGACGATACGGAAAATACTTTATTTTTTGTGTTCATTCCAATAAGAAATAAACCAATAAAAACTTTGCAAGAATCATCCAGAATCCAATTTCGGTCACTAATCATCCTTTTTGCTAAATCCAACAAAATAACGGCTAACCCAAGCAATACTTTTCAAAAAACCGAAATACCTGTGCCTACCCTCATAAATCCCAATTATTTGGTACTTTTATGTTTGTTTTCCTGATTTGTTTGCCAAACAACACGCTTTGTCACAGATTGCTTTGTGTTGCATTAATGAATCAACGGTTAAATTAGGACCTTTGACCGAATTGTTAGCGTATTACGGTATTACAATAAATTGTGGCGTTTCAAATTCGGAACGACTTAAAAATTTGACCGTGGAATTGTTGTCAGTGCGTTCACATTTCAATGAGACATAAGTTTAGCTGTTGCTGATGTAGATCTTTATGCACGCTTGCCAAAGGATTTTTGGTTGTATTTTTAGTAGAAGAAAATGGATTCCAAGATACACACGAAGCATTGCCTCATATGGAATGCTAAGAATTTTTAGTGAGGGATTAGATTAAGCTTGAGTTTGAAACACTGTTTGCTTTACAATAAAATTTATAACCAGTTGTTTTGCAAAACTGTGATTTAAAATTAATTCGCGGTTGTATAATTTAGCCCATGTTTTTCTAACTTCGTTTAGTTGCCAACATTTTCTGAAGCATTTGAACTAATTTTATTGTGAAAAGATAAAAAAATTGAGTTTTCACTATAATCTAACAATTTGTTTCCTTGACTTTCTTGTCTTCAAGTGGTTTTGTGTTCTGGTTGTTTTTTCAGTGGTAGTTTCTGAATAATTCCAGATTTTTGAAATTGAACATAGGATTTATCTTCTTCATCCAATTTGATATCCCCCCATATAGACCTTTCACGCCTAAAACTAACAACTGAAATCCAATGATGTGGATGAAAAATAAAGGTACCTAACTGTTGTAGAGCCGAATATGTAATGACAAATAGGAAGCAATAAATGTCAAACTGAAACATTAAATTTATTATTCAACATTGTTTGTTACAAAATTGGTTTACATAATTTTTAACTGCGATTCGTCCAAAATGACATTAGAATAATTATTTCACGATTGCCAATCAAACATCCGTTCGAATATACATAATATAGTTATGCAGTATTTTATTCCATATTGATCCCACACCTCAAAACAAAACTTATAGGAACGAAAACGTGTCGTTTATTTCTGATAAACTTCTCAACGACGATGTTGTTCTCATGCTATGCCCAATTTTGATTAAGCACCCAGGATTATAGATAGACACTATTGTTTTTCAGTTACTTATAAGTGTGCTTATTATCCGCTGGATTGAAGATGATTCTTAAGTGCGAGCTTATATGATTATTATCTAAATTTAAATTCAAGGGCTGCTTTCTACAAATTAAAAAATATATACATATTATACAGGGTGATTATTTAAGTATGCAACATATGGGGATTTTTTTTGGTAATAGCACAACCCTAATACAAAGAAGGCCAAAAGTTGGTGCATGTCTGATAATCATATTAGGTGCACTAAGAATGGTTGCAAGTCAAACAGCATACAGAGTAGCTCAAACAATATCAAAATTGAACTGAGTGTAAAGTACCCTTATTTTAGAAAATTCAGCAAAATGTTATAGCGAAAAGTTGTTTGGAATTGAAAGTTATGCCTAAATACCAAAACATAGCCTCCTAAGATTTTTTAAATTTTTTTTCGAAAAAAATCTATAATTTCTATATTTTTTTTATTTTCTATTTCCGCTCTTAATGCTTTCAAAAATTAATGGAAATCAAATCAATTTCACATAACTTTGTTCAAATTCAAGCATATTTGTTAAATTAACTTGGATTTTTAATTTTTTATGGAATCACAAAATTCGTGTTTGTTGCAATGATATTCAACACAACTTTGAAATGTCGCAATTTTTTTTTAACAAGTTAAAACATTACTAGTAATAGTATGCATATTTAAAAAACTCTCCTTATAGTGCAAAAGTTTTATTTTATTTAAGTAAATATTACTACAATTTTGATATTTTTTGAGCTACCCTGTATGCTGTTTGACTTGCACCTAATATGATTATCAGATATGCACCAACTTTTGGCCTTGTTTGTATTTTGATTTTGCTATTACTAAAAAAATCCCATATGTTGCACATTTTAATAACCACACTGTATATCAAAAAGAAATGGGCATTTAATAATTATTGTCTTTCTTAGATCCGATTAATTCATCTTCGTATATTTTTTTTCTAGGCAAGTACCAGCATTTTATACACAGGGTGGCTCATCGAAAATAGTCCAGCAAGGTTTACGGGTTTGAAAGTAAAAATTAAAAAAACCCTCGGACCCATTAACTTTTGTTTCAAGAAATTGCGTTTTAAAAAATGCAGTTTTATTAAGTTTTATTAAGTAAGTAGGTATCTCAGGTAAGTACCTGTACTTTATCTAATTAATTTCCGTAAATCTTCTAATCTTCTAATGTTTTTAAACGAAATTTCTAGACGGCGCGTTGCTCAAATTTGAAAAACGAAGCCGGAGATTACAGAGAATTTGATGCCCTTTAACAAGATGTATCACAACATACCCCTTCCCATTTGAAAAAATAGGGGTAGTAGCCGCCCCCGGGGCTTGAGGATACAGGGATGAAATTAATAGTGAAACGGGTCCCGGTGCTGAAAACAAAAGTTTACGGGCCCGAGGATTTTTTTAAAATTTTTACGTACAAAGCCGTAAACTTTGCTGGACTGCTTTCGATGGGCCACCCTGTTTAGATGCAAATATTTTGTTTTTATCTCTTGGATAACCAACCTTAGCCTTAATTGTGTTTAAGTCGACAAAATAAATTGATGTGATCGATCAAATATGTTTATTGGTTTTCGAATCTTATTAGATTGCGGGTACCTACTCAAGGAAAAGATAATTTTTTGCAATGTTTGTAGTGCCAGAGAAACATATTTTATAATATGTGATTGATGAGTTCAATCAAGTGGGTAAGTATTAGAAATTTTGTTTCTAAAAGGACGATATATTGCTATTGGATCAAATTTTGTTTCTAAAAGGACGATATATTGCTCTAAAAAAACGCATTTATACAGGGTAAGTCCGAAATAAGTGCGCATTTTGTTATGAGTAGAGTAGGACAATTAGGTACTTTTTGCATAGGTACATGTGTCCGCAAACGTCTCGTTAGAAAAATCAGAGTAATGAAATTTTCGGAAAATTTTGATTTTTTACCGTTAGATTCAAAATGCCTTGAGCGATTTTGTTCAAATTTTCAGAAAACGTTTGCGATGTTCTCAAGCATCTTTCTAAAAAATCCGATCGAGTTCTACTTTTCCTGTGTCCAGGACCGGACCTAGAGCGACTCTTATTTTTTTTTTAAAAGAAAAAAGTTGTACGCTCCTGGGTTTTTTGACAAGTCAACCATTATTTTCTGATTCCTTGCTTTAAACAAAAAAATGTATTCCGAGGTTTTCTTTTTTGATGTAACGTTTACAAGATAGAAAATATCAATTTATAATTGTTTGGAAAATCTCAATGTTCGATACACTCCACTCTGTTGAAAAAATAAGGGTCCGGTCCTGGAAAAGTGAAACTCAAACGGATTTTTTAGCAAGATACTTGAGAACATGGCAGAAACTCTCTGAAAATGTGAACAAAATCGCTTAAGGCATTTTGAATCTATGTATAAAGGCAAAAAGTCAAAATTTTCTGAAAATTCCAACACTCTGTATAAGAAACTTGAATTTTGCGATATTCTGTAATACATTTTTGACAAACATACTGGGTATTTTGTGAAAAGAAAACAGTTTTCCGAATAAATTTAATTTTTGGGAATTATCAGAACACTTCGTTCAACTATAATCAATCTTTATTAGTTACAAAACTAAATCAAAACTCACTGCCTTACTATCGACTCGCGTTCCACCGATTATCCGAATGTCACTTTATTCGCGTTCAACTGATTCTTGACACACTCGCGTTAAATTTATCACTGACCTTTTTACCTCGGTGGCTGATTCCGTCTTATAGTACGTCGTTCCTTCTAGAATTGTCTAGATAGTTCGCTTTCTTTTGTTTCGAGATCGCTGGACTATTACGCGGTGATATTCCATTTGCTAGTTAAGTAGTCATTAGGCAGTGTTGCAAAATTGTGCACCATTTCGTCAAGATATATATATATATAACCACGCCTATGTTGTACAGATACATTCTTTTTCCGGCGGCTATTAAAAAAAAAAATGGCGGAATCTCGAGTCCTAAGAAAACCTTTTTTAGGTTAAATAGATAGCGTTTATCTTTCGGCCAGTTAGGAGCTTCTATTTGAAAATTCATTCGATTCTATCCAGGAGACCCATCCGAACTCCGAGATTATACTCTTCCGAGTTTTTCATGTTCATTACTCAGAGTGGCTTAAGTTTTTTGAACAAAACAACCCATGCTGGAAGGATTGCTGAAGCATTATTTGCCATTTCACGCGGCCTTACCCAGTTGGTAGAAGAGCCCACACGTATCCCCGATTCCGTTTTTCAACATGCCGACTTACTCGATTTGTTCCTTACCACTAATATATTGATATAACCTCAAAATAGATGCATGTTTATTTTTGTTTATTTTTGTTAAATGCAAATTACATTCAAAATATTGAATTTTTTTATTATATTATTGAATGGAACTGCTGTTTGTGAGATCCGTAAGCTGTGCAATGGTTAGTGAACTGATTAGTCAAGAATTAACTGTGAAAATGAAATAAACTGAATCTAACCTAAAAATGACGGATTTATGCAGTGAATGTAAATTAGTTATAACAGCTTTGGATTCGGTTTCCTGCGACAGTTGCTCCCGATTGTTCCACAAGAAGGTATGCTCAGGACTCAATGCTTCAGAAATTAAAGTAATGGAACTGAAGGGTGCTCGTCAGTTGAAATTTTTTTGCCCAGAGTGCCAAAGTGGGATGAAAATGGTACCAACGCTAATAAAGGCTGTGGAGGAACTACGGCAAGAGATTGATGATCTTAAAAAGACCCCCGTGATGCAAACTCCACCCAACATACCTGTCCCCTCCAACACTCCAGTATTAAACTACAATGAGGCAGATATTTTTGTGGAACTACAGGAGCGCCAAAATCGTGCCAACAATTTGATGATATTTAATGTTCCTGAAGGAAATAATTCTGAACCGGATTCTGATCAAGTCAAAAAACTTATTTCCATTTTGTCAGATACAAACTCTCCTCAACCTCGTGTACTTCAAACCTTGAGAATGGGTAAGCCTAATAAAAATAACTTCAGAGCTTCAAGATTGACCTTAGAATCACCAGCTGAAGTTCAAAAGTTGATTAAGTGTGGTCACAAACTTAAAGATGAAAAAGTGTTCATAAGCTTTGACTTGACCGCCAAAGAAAGAGAAAGGCATAAATTGTTACAAACTGAATTTCGAACACGTAAAGCTAATGGAGAGAATGTAGTCATAAGATATCAAAACCGTATTCCGAGCATTGCTTTGGGAAAAAACACGAAGTAGGGCCTTCTCTATGCAAAAACAATTCAAATCACACATCTCAGAAGTATCTTGATGCTTTTTATCAAAATGTTCGAGGTTTGAATACTAAATTAAAAATTCTACAAACCAATGTTGCTGCCAACTGTTATTCTGTAATTATTTTGACCGAAACCTGGCTAACAAGTGATGTCAATGACTGTGAGTTGGGATTGTTTGATTACAATATTTACCGATGCAACAGGAACAAAAACTCAAGCAGTGCCCTCAGAGGGGGAGGTGTCCTTATAGCAGTATCAAAAAAATTGAAAAGCTCCATGCTGCACTCTCCCAATGATGTTGAACAGTTATTTGTTTTGATTGGTTCTGGCTCCGATTCAGTCATAGTGTCTGCAGCTTATATACCACCTCGTTCCCCGTCAAATAAATACCAGAGCTTTTGTTCAACATTGGATTCGGTCATGCAGATGCATGGAGTACCAGTATATATCTGTGGAGACTTTAATATGCCATACTGTACCTGGTCTGCAGATGAATATTGTTCAGTTCCATTGGTGGCTGATGGTGAGCGCAATCGGTTTGGAGATGTTGTCTCATTAATGTCTGACTCATGTGCATTTCACAATTTATACCAGGTAAACAATATCCCAAACCACAATGGCAAGACGTTGGATCTGATATTGACTGCCAATGAAACTACCTTAGTATCCGTATGTGATGACGCATTGGTTCCGGCTGATGACTATCATCCACCATTGACATTCCAGATTCGGGGCGGTGCAAATCATACTAACTCTAGTGTTCCTCATGGGGATAATTTCTATTATAATTTTAGATCAGCTGATTTGACACTGTTAAATGACTGTTTGGGTCAATTAAACTGGGATGACATACTGTCATCCCATGATTACTCAGTAAATGATATGGTAAATATTTTCTATGATATTTTATATTTTTTTATTCAGGCACTTGTGCCACAAAAAAAGGTGTCCAAACATAAATTCCCTTCCTGGTTTTCACCAGAGTTAAAACAACTGATTATACAAAAAAAGATGGCTCACAAATTGTACAGAAACTCAGGAGATAGGATCCATTATTCAAATTTCAGTAGGCTCAGAACAGAATGTAAAACCTTAACCTGAACTTGTTACCTTCAATATGTTGAAAAATCCCAGCTCAGTTTAATTGATAATCGAAATATTAAGCAGTTTTGGAATTTTGTAAAAAGTAGAAGAAGTGGAAACGAGCTTCCACCCCTAATGTTTTTTAAAGATAACCAGTGTCAACTTGGACCTGATCTACCTGATCTTTTTGCCGAATATTTCCAATCTGTCTACACTAAGAAAACGGTTGCTCAGCAAAATGTTGCCACATTCAATCATATCTGTTTATCTGACTATACAATACCCATATCAACTATTTATGAGGAAATGACTAAGATCGACATAAATAAGGGCCCTGGGCCTGATGGTATTCCGCCCGTGGTTTTGAAAACTTGTAGCTTTCCTCTGGCTCGTCCATTTTTCATCATTTTCAATAAATCACTTTCCTCGGGCATATTTCCAGACTTCTGGAAGTTAAGCTACCTTAAAAAAATTGTTGCTGATTATTTAAGATCTGTATTGAGTTTGACTATTATTGATGAACAGTTTGGCTTTTACAGCAAAAGATCCACAGAATTGAACTTAATTTCCTTTGCTGATTTCCTGTCAGACGTCTTGGATGAGGGAGGGGAGATTCACGCTATCTACACTGACTTCTCCAAGGCGTTCGACCGGGTCAATGAGATATTACTTCGAAAACTGAAGGCGGCCGGTCTTCAAGGGACCTTGTTGGAATGGCTAGCAAGCTACCTCAGATAGATATCAAGCTGTCAAACTAAATAATTTCACCTCTAAAAATTTTCCTAACCCCTCTGGAGTCCCGCAGGGGTCCCATTTGGGACCTCTATTGTTTATATTATTTGTTAATGACATCGCAAAATGTTTCAAATTTTCTAAATTTGTATGTTTTGCTGACGACTTGAAGTGCTATATTTCCATTTCATCATTGGATGATTGTCAGAAACTTCAGTCTGATCTGGATAGATTAGCTGAATGGTGTGACCTAAATGCGATGGATTTAAATATCTCAAAGTGTAACTATATATGCTTTACCAAAAAACGTACCAAAACTCAATTTAACTATAGCATAAAAGGCTCACTGTTATCCCAAGTTTCAACCATTCGTGACCTGGGAGTAACTATGGATTCGGCACTATCATTTGTCAATCATATTGATACCATAGTTTCAAGAGCACTAAGTATGCTCGGGTTCATCAAAAGAACTACATCTGACTTTACAAGTACTTCTGCCATTAGACTTATGTATTGTAGCCTAGTAAGGCCTTTACTAGAATACTGTTCAACTGTGTGGAACCCCCATTACGCATCCCATATACACAGGATAGAGCAAGTTCAAAGGAAATTTCTCAGGTACTTGGCCTATAAATCAAATATTCCTTCCCGCGATGATTACAGCTATGATTTTAAAATGCTTCAAGAGAGATTTGCGCTTCCAACATTGAAGGTTAGAAGAGATCAGGCAGATCTCAAACTATTCTTTAAGGTTATAAACTATATGGTTGACTGTCCTCTTTTAGTCTCATCGGTGGTTCTTTCGGTTCCACCTAGAAATACTAGATCAACAAACATATTCCAGCAGCCCTTCAGGCGAACTAATGTTGGATCTAATTCTTTCATGCCACGCGTGGCAAAAATGGCTAATTCTCATTCTGCCAGCATCGATTTTTTCCATTCCAGCTTTAGTACTTTTGTGAGCTATTTAAAACATATTTAAGTTAAAAGATTTTTTTGTTTTTTTTTCTCTCTTTCTTTCTATTCTTTTTTCTTTGATTTCATATATTTATGTTATGAGGGTTAAATATAATTATATTTATTCCATGTTATGTTTAATATGTTTAATAATAGGTAATGATAAAAATATATCTTAATTTCTGTTTTGGTTTATAGTTATAATGTAGGTACTTAGTTTCATCAGATCAAGTAATTTGAGTTTCTAGTCTATTTAGGTTAATTTTGTTAAAATTTGTTAAATTTTTGTACTAAAAGTGGGTAAGGCCCGTTAATAAATAAATAAATAAATAAATAAATAATCCAGATTCTTACAAGATTGATGAGTTTGCACTTTTGAGCAAATCAGACCTCAAACTGATTTCCGCTAGAAGTTGGTTTGCTATACCCTCAGCTCCTGCTTCAATACCTCGTAGGGCGTGAAATTTTGACGCTGCAGACTGGGAAGGTCTAAAACTGTTTGGCTCAACCTTTCAGTAGTCTGATATTTGCTTTAAACCCAAAGATCTCTCTGAGGCTGCACACGTTACCAAAATAATTTCCTTAGATATTGAATTGTACATTCTACACTCCAATGAGGCAGTCCTTGCCGGAGAATCCTGGTTTGAATAAGCAGTGTGCCCGAGCGGTTGCAAAAAAGAACACCGCATATCGTACCTGGCGTAGAAACCAATGCGAACAAACTCGATCGTCCTTTACGGCTGCCAGAAATGATTGCAATCGTATACCCAACGAGGCTAAGGAGTTACACAACCAAAAAGTGCGTGATCGACTTTTGAACTGGGTGAGTCGAAAAATTCACATCTTCTTCCTTTCTACCTTTAGTTAAGGACAATAATTCGATTGTAGTATTGTCACAGATCTATTTGCCGAACAATTTGCATCGGATTCCGCCATGGAGGACAAATGGCAGAGCGCCACAGGTACTGCCACACATTGATTCTTACATGAACAACGTTGTATTCAGACGTAAAACTATTAGAAAAATTTTTCTGTAACTTGACACTGGGGAATCTGTGGGTCCGACGGCGTTCTGATGACCAATTGTCCTCAAAACTTGGGCACAAGAATTTACTTCAGTTCTTCGCAAAATGTTTTCACTCTCTTACAGTCGAGGCGTTTTCCCGTCTATCTGGAAATGTGTCAGAGTGCAGCCCATCCCGAAAAAGGGTAAGAAAACTCTATCTTATCGATCGTTTCATCTCACTTATATCTGTACTTCCAAGTAATGGAAAAGGCAGTCAACCTGAAAGTGGTTAAATACCTCGAAGCCAGTAAGTTCACAAAGTTGACAAACAGTTCGGAGTTCGTTGTAAAAAGTCAACAGGGTATCTGCTGTCGTACGTCAGTCATATTTGGAACTAGACTCTTGAAAAACATGACAAATCCAGAATTGTAGCATTGGAAATCTCCAAGGCTTTTAATCAGATCTTGCACAAAGGCCTCCTCAGCAAATTTCCATCGTATGGTCTTCCGAAGGAATTTTGCCATTGGCTGGAGAGCTTTTTGAGAGGTAGGTCACTGCATGTTGTGGTTGACGGTGTGTCTTCTGATAACTGCCTATGAATGCCGGCGTTCCCCTAGGTTCAATTCTGTCCCCAACACTGTTTCTCAGTTTTATAAATGATTCTTCTGAAAAACCGCTTACTGCAGCCACTTCCACACCCCTCGCGCGAGAACAGCTTCACTCTATCAACAGTTATCTCGACACCATTACCAACTGGGGCCTTAATAACAACGCAAGCAACAGTATTCTTAACAAATAAGAAATCTTCCGCCGATGATAACCCAGAATTAAGGATGTCGAGACAAAACCTCTCTATCAATCCTTCAGTATCTCTTCTTGGGGTGACGGCATCGGCCCACTTGTATGACAAGACAAGTGGGACCATGTATATTTGATCGCCAAAACCGCTTCTCAAAAATAAGGTTTTCTGTTTCGTGCAAAAAGCTATTTTACTTCTGAACAACTTCTCCTTCATAAGGCGCAAATCACACCATGTATGGAATACTGTTCCCACATCTGGAGCGATGCTCCCAAGCATTCGTTGACTCTATTCGATGCAGTAAAAAGAAAAGCAACAAAAATTATCGATAATCCAACTCTCATCGATTCATTTCTATCTCTCGAACATAGACGCAGGGTAGCCGACATGTCGTTATTCTATCGCT